GATATGAAGACTTGTGGCAATTCAAAGATAAGATTCGAGAGTTTATGCAGCAGCATTGCGCCGTGGTCGTTGCAATATTGGGTGGGGGAGAGTGTGATGACCCGCCATGTCATCATGCCACATAGGTACCATTTGGCATATATTAATGCCATGTGGAAGCTTACATAAGAAGAAGGCTAGCATTTGTGAGAAGATTCTAGAGAGGTATGGACATTTCCTTAGGAAGAACCTAGATCCTTATGGATTTGCTAGGAAAGTCCTTGGAATCTTCTAGGCTTATAGAAAATTCTAGAAAAAGCCCTTATCTTGTAAATATCAAGGACTTGTGTAGTAATTAATATTTACACACTAGCCCCTAGGAGACTAGTATATAAAGGGGGTCATTCATTTGTAATTCATCAAGCAAACAATTCAAGTTCTCTCTAATACAAAGCTTCCTTGAACAATTCTCTTGTGTTCTTTCTTCCATTCTTTTAGCGATCTTAAAGGTAGTAAGACTGACTTGGCACAGCAAGAACGTGAGCAAGTTGTGCAAGATCGTGAGCGAGTTGTCAAGTGCCGAACGTGTACTTAGTTAACAACTAAGGACGTGACACTAGTGTTTACCCAAGAGAACCAGAGTCTCTCAAAGAGATAAGGTCTATAACAGCAAATCTTCTAGAGTAATTTTCTTTTATGACTTCGTTTAATCATCTAATTGCTTCTCCGCTATCGTATTTCTTTATCATAATTACTATGATTATGCTTTCATTGAGCCGAGAATCTACCGAAAACAAAATTTCTATATTCAAAAAGTAGGGATAAAGTCTACGTACATGCTATCATCCTCAGATCACAATTGTGGGTTTGCACTAAATATGTTATTGTTGTTTAATCGTCAAAAACACTTAACAATAAATGTATGCATGTATTTGATAAGTTCAGCTTCATTGGAAAACCAAATTGATCAAACTCAAGTTGTTTAATTAGTTGCCTTAATCTGTTTGTACATTCAGAACTTATACATAAAATAATAGGATTTATTTCGTTAAATTAAAGGAAGCTGGTGTATAAATCACAGACACTTAGGGTGTGTTTGGTATAACGAAAAATGTTTCCGTGGAAAATGTTTGTCAAGAAAATATTTTCATAGAAAACAAGTAGTAATCTTATTCATTTCCTGGTGTTTGGTATGCAAATTAATGAAATTAACTTCTCAAGAGTATTCATAAATAATTTAGATACAATAAACATGAAGCCATAAACTTTCGAACCAACAACCTTCCAAACCCACAAATTTTATAAACTTCCGAACTGCTAAACATTCGAAACCGCGAACTTTCGAACCCGTAAACTTTTATAATTTCTAAACCCGTAAACTTCCAAACTCATAACTTTGGAACTTGTAAAATTTCAAACCTATAAACGGAAATATGAAAAAACTAAAACTGAAAATATATTAAAAAAATATTTTTTTCGGGGGAGGGGGGCGAGGGTGGGGGATGGGTGGTGCAGAAAAACAAAAAACAGAAATTTAAAAATTACAAAAAAAAGTAAAAAAAAATAAAAATTGAGGGGGGCAGTGGGGTGGGGTTTGGCAGGGGGGTGAGGGGGTGCAGAAAAACAAAAAACAGACATTTGAAATTACAAATGTATGGGTTGGGGGGAGGGTGGGTGGAGACAAATAAAAAAGAAAAACCTTCTTGGAGAGAGGGGGTTGGGTGGGTAGGTTGGGTGGGGTGTGGGGTGGGTTGGTGAGCGTGGGGAAGGTTGAGAAGGAGTTTTAGAAAATATTTTCCCCTCTCTTGATAAGGAAAACACATTTAAGCCAACCAAACATGAGAAAATTGGAAAACATTTCCCTTCGTACCAAACACACCCTTATTCCATGTTACAAAATTATAATGCTTCTTATTTCTCCAGGTTTTATATGGGAGCAACACCGGATTCAGGTCAACTTATAGCCATGCTCTTGAATCTAATAAATGCCAAAAGGACTATTGAAATCGGCATCTTCACTAGATATTCTGTGCTTCTCACTGCTCTTATAATTCCTGATGATGGCAAGGTTAGTATTGCTATTGAATCATCACTATATATAGCCCCAAATAATCATCACACATATGTAAAAAAAATTGGCAAATGTGTTAAATTGCAGATTATAGCCATAGATCCAGATCGACAGTCTTATGAATTGGGGTTACTAGTCATCCAAAAAGCTGGAGTTGAACATAAAATCGATTTCAAAGACTCTCCGGCTTTACCTGTTCTTGACAAACTCTTGGAATATGTGAGAAAAATAATTTATAACTCATAATCTCAAACTATGTCGTGTATGCTTTAATGTGATTTTCCTTTTTCCTGATTCATTGCAGAACGAAAACAGAGATAGTTTGGACTTTGCATTTGTATACGCGAATAAAACTAATTATGGAAACTATCACGAGAGACTAATGCAGTTTGTGAAAGTTGGAGGTGTGATAGTGTATGATAACACACTATGGTATGAAACACTTGTGATGCCAGAGGAAAATGTTGACAAGTTGATGAGAGCAGAAAGGAAATACTTTCTTGAGTTAAACAAATTCCTTGCTGCTGATACTCGCATTGAAATTTCTCAAGTTAGTGTAGGTGATGGAATGACCATCTGCAAGAGACTATTTTGATGTATACTACATCTTTTTTATCCGCAAGTACTCAGTTTTTCTGTTAATTTTTTAATAAACTACAAATTCAAAACATGGGTTCTGTCCATTTGACTCTTTAAATTGCAGAAAACTCTTACCTTACAAGCCGTTGCTCTTCTGAATTATTTGCTCTAAATTGAAGATCATGCCCCCAAACAAAGGGTTTGGAAGAAAAAAAAGGTAGAAAATAATTTTGCTTTGTGTGGTTGAGGGAAAATCTGTGTGAAAAAATAAACAAATAGAAGTTAATTTGTTTAACAAAGGAAATCGTTTTAGTTAGTGAGTGTTCTAGTTAGCGAGCAACTCTCACTTTTATTTTGTGAGTCAATACGTAGCTATGAAATAAAGTTTATGGGTTCTAAATTAGGTTTTTTACTTTCCTATATAATATATGAAATTTTATTACCCTCCCTAATTAAATTTTAATTTAATTACATGGTCATATACAATTTACCAATTATATAGAAATTAGCTTTAAATGGGTGTTCATTTTATATTAAGAATTGAATAAGGAATCAGTTGTTTCCTATCTTTGTTCTCTCTCTCTCTCTCTCCCACACTCTCTCTCTCTCACTCTCTCATATTCTATGTTATTTTCCCAATTTTTCTAACTTTGATGTTCTCTATTTTTTATCCTTTCATCTTGTGTATACTTTTAATGGAATTAGTCAATGGATTTCAGTCATTTTAATATAGAGTTTTAACTTAGCAATTTCCTTTCATGTTGCACAATTGGTGTTCAAATTGAAATTATTAATCAATAAATTTTTGTGATGACCCGATAGGCCGTCTTAAGATTTAAAATAAAATTCTATGTTCCGAGGCCTTAAAACCTTATTTTATCCCTCCTCAATTTGCGTGCGCAGTCCGGGCATATTTCGGAAAACTTTTATGTTGAAAGTTAATAAAAATAAGGATTTTTGCTGAAAAACATAATTTGAGTTGACTTCGGTCAACATTTTCGATAAACGGGCCCGGATTTGTTTTTTGACAATCCCGGTGGGTTCGTATCGAACTATGGGACTTTGGCGTATGCCCGGAATCGGATTCGAATTCGGAGGTCCCTAGCTCGAGTTATGAATTTTTGTTGAAAATTGAATGTTTGAAGATTTAATGGTTTTTAAGAAATTATTAATGTTTGATCTTGTTGGTATCCGGTCCGTATTTTGGTTTCGGATCCTAGTACAAGTTCATTATAATATTTAAGTGTATGTGAAATTTGGTGAGAAATGGAGTTGGTTTGACGTGATTCGGACGTCCGGTTGTGAAAATAGGAATTTCAAAGTGTTCTTGAGAATTTCATTTGATTTGGTGCTAAATTCGTGGTTTTAAGATTATTTTGTTTGAACACACGAGCAAGTTTGTATGATATTTTTAGAGTTGTGTGCATGTTTTGTTTGGAGCCCCGAGGGCTTGGGTGAGTTTCGAAGAGGCTACGGAGTGTTTTGAACTTAAAGATCATAGCTGTGCACTTCATGTCTGCAGACTTCGGCATTGCGAGGTCTGGCTCTCAAATGCGAGCCTCGCATTTGCAAAAAAGCATCGCAATTGCGAGCAGTGGGCTGGGAGGGGCAACTTCACATTTGCGAAGTTAAGGATCGCATTTGTGATCCTCCAGTTCTACATTTGCGAACAAAATGTTCGCATTTGCGAAGGCAGCAGAAATGTGAGGAGTTCACATTTGCGAGCTTCGCACTTGCGAAGCTCAGCTCGCAAATGCAACATCTGCAGCTGGTAAAACTTAACTTAGACGGGATTTTTGCTCATTTCTCAAAACTTTCAAAACAAGAAACCCTCAACCAAAACACACCAGATTCAAGCCTAAGTTCCCAAAATCTTCCGAGTTCCTCTTTTGATCAAAAACCCAACCAAATCACATTCAAATAACCTGAAATTTTGCACACGCATCCCAAATGACATAACAGAACTACAACAACTCTCGGAATTCCATTCCGACCCCTATACCAAAATCTCGCCTACCAATCAAAAATTGCCAAAATATCAAATTCGCCAAGTCAAGCCTAAATCCACTCTGATTCTCCAAAACTCATTCCGATCACGCTCCTAAGTCCCAAATCACCTCCCGAAGCTATCCGAACCATCAGAACTCACATCCGAGCCCTATAACACATAAGTCAACATCCGGTTCACTTTTCCAACTCAAGCTTCCTCAAAAGAGACTAAGTGTCTCAAACCTTACCAAAATCATTCCGGATTCGATCCGACCAACCCGAGACCACATAACACGGATAAACAAAGCATAAAGAAGCAGAAATGGAGAAAACGGAGCGGTAACTCATGAGACAACTGGCCGAGTCGTAACATCCTCTCAACTTAAACAAACGTTCGTCCTCGAACGAGTCAAGAAACACACCTGAAGCCTCAAACAAGTGAGGATATCTGCTCTGCATCTCCCACTCGGTCTCCCAGGTGGCCTCCTCCATGGGCCGACCTCTCCACCGCACTTTCACTGAAGCTATATTCTTTGACCTCAACTTTTGAACCTGACGACCCAAAATAGCTACTGGCTCCACATCATAAGTCAAATCATCATCCAACTGAACCATGCTGAAATCCAAAACATGAGACGGATCCCCAATATACTTCCAGAGCATAGAAACATGAAATACCGAATGCACACTCAACAAGTTGGGTGGCAAAGCAAGATAATAAGCCATCTCCCAATCCTCCGAAGCACCTCAAAAGGCCCAATGAATCGAGGACTCAATTTACCTTTCTTCCCAAATCTCATAACACCCTTCATGGGCAAAACCTTCAACAGAGCCTTCTCGCCAACAATGTAAGACACATCTCGAACCTTCTTGTCAGCATAATTCTTTTGCCTCGACTGTGCTGTACGAATCCTCTCCTGAATCACCTTCACCTTTTCTAAGACATCCTGCACCAAATGTGTCCCCAATAGCCTAGCCTCACCTGGCTCGAACCAATCAACTGGAGATCTATACTGCCTCCCGTACAAGGCCTCATATGGAGCCATCTGAATACTCGATTGGTAGCTGTTTTTATAAGAAAACTCTGCAAGCCTGCCTAAACTCCTGACACATCTTCGCAGACTAGGCTCCTAAATATCTAACCTCATGAACCGATTGGCCAAGGCCTGAACATCAACTGCAAGAGGTCTCTCCCCAACTGGAATATATGCCAAACTCCCTATACTCACCACCTTTAGGCTCAAGGCATCGGCCACCACATTGGCCTTTCCCGGATGGTACAATATAGTGATATCATAATCCTTAAGCAACTCCAACCACCTCCGCTGCCTCAAATTGAGATCCTTCTGTTTGAACAAGTGCTGGAGGCTACGATGATCAGTAAACACATCACAAGACACACCGTACAAGTAATGTCTCCAAATCTTCAATGCGTTCGAACTATGGCAGCCAACTCCAAATTAGAACGGGGTAGTTCTTCTCATGGGGCTTTAACTGACGAGAAGCATAAGCAATAACTCTACCCTCNATCTGGGCCAACTCTGAAATGCCTCTATCTTCCTTGGATCAACCTGAATACCCTCGTTGGACACACGTGCCCCAAGAAAGCCACTGAAATGAGTCAAAATTCATACTTGGAGAATTTTGCATAAAGCTTCTCCTCCCTCAATATCTGCAACACAACTCTCAAATGCTCTGCGTGCTCCTGCCGACTACGCGAATATACCAGAATATCATCAATGAAGACTATGACAAACGAGTTAAGATAAGGCCGGAACACACTGTTCATCAAATGCATGAACGCTGATGGGGCATTGGTCAGCCCAAAAGACATTACCAAGAACTCATAATGACCATATCGGGTCCTGAAAGCTGTCTTAAGATTATCCGAGTCCCTGATCTTCAACTGGTGATAACCTGAATGGAGATCAATCTTGGAGAACACTCTCGCTCCCTGAAGCTGGTCGAATAAATCATCAATGCGAGGAAAAGGATACTTGTTCTTAATTGTTACCTTGTTCAATTGTCTATAATCAATGCACATCCTCATAGTGCCATCCTTTTTCTTCACAAATAGAACTAGAGCGCCCCAAGGTGATACACTAGGCCAAATGAACCCCTTATCGAGGAGTTCTTGAAGGTGCTCCTTTAATTCCTTCAACTTCGTTGGTGCCATACGATACGGCGGAATTGAAATGTGCTGAGTTCCCGGCACCAGGTCAATACCAAAATCAATATCCATGTCTGGTGGCATGCTCGACAGGTCTGCAGGAAACACATCGGGAAAATCCTTCACAACTGGAACAGAATCAATACTGGGAGTCTCAGTACCGACATTCCTCACAAAGGCTAGATACGAAAGACAACCCTTCCCAACCATATGTTGGGCTTTCAAGAATGAGATCACTCTACTGGGAACATAATCAGTCACACCTCGCCACTCAATCCGTGGCACACCTAGTATAGCCAATGTGACTGTCTTGGCATGACAGTCCAGAATAGCACAACACGGAGATAGCCAATCCATGCCCAAAATGACATCGAAATCCACCATACATAATAATAAAAGATCCACACAGGTCTCCAGACCCCCAATCGTCACCACACATGACTGGTACACACGGTCTACAATAACAATATCGCCCACTAAGGTAGATACATGAACAAATGAAGCAAGAAACTCACGAGGCATACCTAAATAACGAAAAAAGTATGATGACACATAAGAAAAGGTGGAACCGGGATCAAATAATATAGAGGTATCTCTGTGGTAGACTGAAACAATACCTGTAATGACAGCATCAGAAGCAATAGCATCGGGTCTAGCTGAAAGTGCATAGAAATGGGCTTGACCGCCACCTGATCAACCTCCCCCTCTGGGGTGACCCCTAGTTGACTGAACTCCACCCCTAGCTGGCTGGGCGGGTGGTGGTAAAGTAACTGGCACTAAAGTTGATGACTGACCCCTCTACTGAGATGAACTCACAAGCCGACGAGGGCACTACCTCCACATATGAACCATCTCAC